AGTTAATCGCTTTTCTATATATGACAATAACAATAAAAAAAAAATAAAAATAAAAATTAAAAAAAAAATTAAAAATATAGCAAACCTCTTTAAATCCATTGTGACAGGACCATATATAATAATTTAAAAAACTGTATTTAAAAAAGTATTGCATTTAGAAAGGTAAAAATCTATAAGTATTATATTAGTTAGACCCAAGTGAAAGCATGCAATTAGGGGCTTTTTATAAAGCATACATTTAGAAAAATGCATTTGAAAAGGTTTGATTGTACTAATTACAAATTTCAAATATTTTTATTTATTTTTTTTTTTGCTTTTTTTTATGCTATTATTATTATTTAGTCTAATAATACTTTTAAACCAATTTATTATTTTAATTAACTATATAATTATTTTAACTTTTAAATTTATATTTAACTAATTTTTTACCAACAAGATTTTTTTTAGTTTTTTTTAAAACTAATAATAGTATTTATTTAAATTAGTTTATTTATAAAAAATTGAGATATAATATATTAATTTAATGTCTATAAAAAAAATATAATATAGCTATAAAATATTTCTATAATAAATATATAATAGCTTTTCTTTTCTATATATATAGTATTAACAACTAAAGTAGTTTTTTATTGCTATAATTTTATTGAAATTTTTTTTTTTTTTGTATTTAATATTTTTTTTTATTTAATTCTTTAAGTTAGATTAATATTTTTTATTATATTTTATCTAATTATAGCATATACAAATTTTATATAAATTTGCCAATTGGGACGGCCCAGATGTCAATTTACTAAAATTTAGCTAAACGCCCTGCCTTAATTAATTTGTTTAAGTCTCACCATTAACATTAAAAAAAAAAAAAAAATTAATTTGTTTAAGCTAATAATTTTGGTCAATTAACATTTGACATTAAAATAGTTGAAAATAACAAATAAATTTTTTTTTTTGGCGTATACTTGTATCGATTATCTTAGTGTATTGATGTCGTATCTAAAGTTACCATCGTATATATACATATAATATATATATATATAATATATATTTAAAAATTATTACAGATCAGCAATTTATTTTTTTTAAAAAGTATGTGGCAAGATGAGCTAGACAGCAAAAAATTTTAATTAGGTTTCTATTACCATATCGATCTGTCGATATGAAATACATCAATCACATGACAAATCTCTAACGAGCATGATTTGCCAGAAGCATGTACGTAGAAGATCAAAATTTCTTTAAAGTTTCATCGACGATTTATTATAACAATTTATTACTTGCTATTTGCAATATATATACAAAAAAAAAAACAACTTTTTGTAATGATCAAAAGCTTGTGCGTGAATTATTATCATTATAAGAATCGATCAGCCGATTTTTTTTAAAAAAATCGACCGGCTAAGAGGAAAATTAGCTTTAGCCGATTTTTCATTATTGGCCAGGATCACTACTCTTTAAGTTCAACACTTGGTCGATCTCTTCTATATTGCAATTTTGTAGTTAATTTTTTAAAAGAAAATAATCATGAAAAAGAAACATAAAGAAAAAATAGGCGGGAAAAGAATATATGGATACTCGAAGACATCAAATTTAACCCTTTCCGAATAGTCAAGTATGGATTGTTGCTCAATCTAGTGAAAATTGATCTTTGATAAATAACCAATCATAATAATTAAGTCTTGGCCATTTCCTTATTATTACCCTTTTTTTTACGTTGTGAGTTGCCGTTGTTGTTGTTGTTCATCTGTCGTCCTTGCATGCCACCACCGCCATAGTATTTTTTCTTCTCCGCTGGTTTGAGGATCTGATTATGAAAGTTTACATTTATTAGATTAATAACTCAACTTTATGGAACATAAAATTTGAAATTTTGGGTTTATACAGTACCTGAAACGAACACATAAGAGTCTCGTCTACACTCATCATCGCGCCAGCATTGTCAAATTCACCGCAGTAGTTCGGTGCAGAGAACAAAGTAACGAGCTGTCTTTTGGCAAAAAATTCGTAGCCATCTTCTACCACCTGATGCGCCCGACATATCAAATCCATATCATGCTTTTGTAAAAACCGGCTGACAACGTCAGGACCAAATGTGAACGATACGCCGCGATCATTTTCGCTCCAACCAGTAATATCCTTATCAGGATCAGACCACAACAAATCGCACAATAGACCTAATTAAAAGATATTATAAATTGGCACTCGATAAAGATAAAATATTAAAAATGTAAAAGTACCAGTATCGGGCACGTCTGTCGGTCTCATAACTCTTCGAATTTGTTCCATACTCTGGAGATCGGGTGATAAGCCGCCGTGCATGGTAAAGATTTTCTCGTCAATGATGGCGGCAATTGGTAAACAATTGAAGCAATCTGTAAAAGTTTTCCATAACTTGATGTTATATCTTCGCTTGCCTGATAAATTGAATAGATTATTAGGAAAATTACACGTGGATAATTCAGTGGTTCATAGTATTGTCTGAAAACTAAACACATTCATTCAATAAAAGCTTACATTCATCATAAAAACCGTAAATACGATTGATACTCGCACATTCATGGTTCCCACGCAGAACAAAGAAATTTTCTGGGTATTTTATCTTATACGCCAATAAAAGACAAATCGTTTCCAATGATTGCTTTCCTCTATCAACATAGTCACCAAGAAATAGGTAATTTGCTTCCGGTGGGAAACCGCCGTATTCGAATAACCTTAACAGATCGTAATATTGACCATGTATATCACCTGTAAAAGAACGATATCAATACCAAAACAAAAATTAAATGTTGACGAAATTTAACCAAATCTCACCACAAATCTTTATTGGAGCTTCAAGTTCGAGAAGTATAGGCTGAGAGATAAAGATTTCTCTCGCTTTTGTACAAAGGTATTTAATTTCAAACTCTGCAAGCTGCACTTGTTTTCCAGGTCGACACCCTCTGACTATAGACGATTAAAAAGTTAAAACAAAATACATATTTATTAACGATCATTGGATGTGTTGAACTCAAGCAATTGTTCTTGTGCTGAAGCCCTTGGTAAGGAGAAAAAAAATATATAGACTAAAAAATATGTTTATACCTTCCAGTAGTCTATCAATTACAGAGTCAATGTCTATTTCAAGAGAATCACCCATTGTACGTTTTGCTCTTGATTAAGATACAAGAGCTATATATACTTTAGTGGAGGAGTGCGTGCGTAAAGCGTCTTGATACAAGCGGAGCAATGATTTGAGGCACTAAAAGTAAATACACAAAGATCGAGCAATGAAGGACACGTTAGCAGTGCTATAATGTGATTTTAACTGGTGTAGAATTAATTGCAGTGTACAGATGATAGTTGCTAGCTCTCAGCAAGGTTCTGCAGTAATTTGTGACAAGACTGCAACCAAGCATAAAGCAGGACGGTAAGGGAGAAAATCATGGGTAACTTTTTTTTTTTCATTTTTCTACTTCTTCCACAAAGGCAATACATACAAATAGGTAGCGAAGCAGGGAGCGAAAAGGTCGGGCAGAGAAGGTGTGTTTAGTGTAGAATAGGAAAACGATGGATAGGTTGGTTGGCCTGAGTTGGATGAGTTAGTAAGGGCTGGACTGGACTGTTTTGTGAGCTAGGATAAAGTTTGGGCTGCTCTATGTAACTAATTACCCAAAACAGAATTTTGGTAACATGGATGATTAGATTGATGCATTATTCATTCTTATTGTCAAAATTTTTAGTCGGATAATTGCCCCCAAATAGTGTGTAAAGAGGAGATAAAAAGATAACAGCTAGATTTATATATAGATATAACAGATAAGTATATACGAATCGACATTGATTTTCGAATTATCATATTGTGTTTATATTATATATATATATTCTATATAATATTGTATATATATATCGATATATATATACGGTATATACGTATTTATATATATATAATTATAATAAATTTTTTAGGCAAATTTTTAAATTTGTACGTAGAATTTTTGTTAATAACTAATATATAGTATATACTGTATATGTAATTAAATATATATATACTGTATATTACAGTATATATACAATATATACTATATTTTTATTTTATTTATTTTTTTTAAAAATAACTATATATATAGTATTTAATTAAAAATAAAATATTATTTAAAACAAAAAAAAGTTAATAGGCAATTCTCCAGTCAACTGGATAAAAATTTTTTTTTTATATAAAAATTTTATTATAAGTGCGAATGCACCGAGCCTGTATCTAAAACTTTTTTTTATACTAAGTAAATTACTCTTCGGCTTCTAACAAAAGTTGTAGAGCTCATCAAAATGTACTTAATACTAAAAGGATATTAAAATTGGCCTGGTAGTTCTTGAGAAATCT